GAAATACTATTGTGGCTGCAGCATAAAGCAGTCGGTTTTCGAAAAAGGCTGCCAGATGACTCGGTAAAAACAACAAACCCAAGCTTTTCAGAAACAGATGTCATGGAAAATACAAACACGCACATTGTCAGAAGTGCACGCATGGATTAATGCACATACAAATGGACTGTATTACACATTTACTTTGCTTTCATTTATGTAATTGGGTTCAAACTCACCCTTATTATTCAGTTATTCAGCTCCATTTGTGTTTGTAATTCAAATCAGGTTAAGATTGTTTTTATTCCCTTTGACTTGCTAAACTGAGTAAGATGTTTGCATGATGATTATAAAAAGCTGTATCCGCAGGCTGCTCATTTCCATCACAAAGAAACCATTGTGATTGAACATGATTCAGGTTTTTGCAGTTGTTCGGGGAAAGGGTAGCTTTGCAATCATTTAAAAACGTTTTCATCGCCCGTTGTTTGAACACAAACACAATAAATGTATTCAGCCATTCAAAATATGAAAACCAAAAAATAAAATAGGTATTTGTAAGGTTAAAAACAGATATTATGGTCAAATACACCAACGTTTAAACTGTATTTGTTGAATTTATAAAAAATGGAATCGCTCATAATTTATAGTTCATATACATGTGTATAATTTGTTTTACATGAACATGAGCAGGCCAGTAATCAGTCTACAGCCTAAGATGATTAGATTCATGATCTTTGTTTGCCTTTAATTGGAATATTTCAAAATGAAATCCAATTACAATGTCAGGGTTTAGCCTTCAGCCGCAGGTCAAGATCTATGTAAAGCAGAAGCTAGCATTTACTAGCTAAAGTGACATTTCTATGAGAGCAAACTGTCCATAAGTTAGTGATTAGGCTATTGACCCGTTTTCCCCCCTGTTTAGTCTTTAGTGAACTGAAAGAGGTAAATACAATGATTGTTTTCTACTCTTTGACTAAAAGTACGTGTAACAATACAAATTGTGTAGCTAGTTGCCATTACCCATTTGCATTATAGCCGTTAGCTTTGCTTTCATGCAGAGATGGGGTCGTTACTAAAAAAAAGTAATATATTACATTGTAGTGCCGAGAGAAGGGAGTCGGAAGCGGTGCATCGAAGGTGCAAATCTGTACTTTACTGAGCAGCAGAAATGTACATGCTGTCGTGTCGCAGCACGAGAACAGAAGAGAAAGTGAAAGGGGGAACACACAGTAGGTACACAGTAGGTACCGTCAACACATGTGTCCGTGCGGAAACAATACCCCCAACCTGTAGTTCCATGATTGGATTATGTAACCCCAGTGTATGAATCAGTGATCACTACACAAGCCCCCCCAGAATTCAACCATGGACACAATCCTCGCGTCCGGGAGGAAGCACCACAGGGGCCGAGGAGGGCGGGCCATGGAACGGGCCGTCGGAAGGGGGCCGCAGGAGAGGGTAGGGGCCCCAACGAAGGCGAGGGCATCCCCACCGGAGGGCGGGTGGCGGGCCGGAACGGGCCGTCGTCAGGGGGCCGCAGAAAGCAGGGTCGCTGTGTCGAGACCAGGGGACGGGCGTGAAAAAAAACCCGGTGGTCCCCAGCAGGGAGGAGCGCTGCCCGGCCGCAGGCGAAGGCACAGCGGCGGCTGGCACGAAGTCCTCGGGAGGAAGGAGCCGTGTCCCCGGGAGGAAGGAGCCGTGGACAGGGGAGAGGCCAGACAGGGCGCCGTCGAGGCGAACCGTGAGCCGCGGTTAGAGGCGAGGCCAGGCAGGGTCCCGAAGCGCGCCACCCACGGGCCGATGAAGGCATGGGCGACGTCCGGAACCGCCGAGGCGAGGGAAGAGGCGAGGCCAGGCAGGGTCCCGAAGCGCGCCACCCACGGGCCGATGAAGGCATGGGCGACGTTCGGAACCGCCGAGGCGAGGGAAGAGGCGAGACGGGGTCCAGAAGCGCGCCACCGTGTGACGTCCGAAACCGCCGTCGAGGTGGTGATAAAGCGAGAGGGTCCACACGAGGCCGACCAGACATGGTCGAACCTCCTCACAGACACCAGAAAAAGCTCAAAAATGGTCGTCCCGTCCACGAACAAAAACAGGTGGGCGAAATAGCGAGAGGATCCATGCGAGGCCGACCAGACTTGATCGAACCTCCTCTCCGGCACCACAAAAAACAAAGACAAAAATAAAAAACCAGTCGGATGTCGATAGCTGTCGTTAGCCGTCGAGGCCAGCCGGTCTCGACGGCCGGTAGTCGCTGTCGTCGTCGTCCCCGGAGCCACTGCTAGGCGGCGTGCCCTTACCAGGGAAGGTGCTGCAGCGTGCAGTGGCAAGCACCTCAGGGGTAAATCGCCGGGCGGCCAGGAGGAACCGGCCAGCATCTTCGGCCAAAGCGCGGGGCCCAACACTAGCCGAGTTAGCTAGCGCAGCCTGGACACGCAGCTGCATGTCCCGAAGAACCAGCTCCAAGAGGCAGAAGACGGGTCCCTCCATACCTAGCAGGTCGTGCATCGTCTCCTCGTAGCAGGAAGGCTTGCTGCCTTCCAGTGCCGAGACGAAGCGGGAATGGCGAGCGACGTCCTCAGCCATTCCGCGGGGCGCACCGAGCCTCAGTCCATGTGCACGTGGCAGCTACGGACGTCTCCAAGAATCTCCGGCATTCCGAGAAAAGCTGCGCTTTTTGCCGTGTTCGATTTAGTCTCGGATCCTTCGCGAGACTTATGTTAGGGTCACCAATGTAGTGCCGAGAGAAGGGAGTCGGAAGCGGTGCATCGAAGGTGCAAATCTGAATACACTTTGTAACGCGTTACACCCAACTCTGCTTTCATGCTGTTGGTTCTACATTTGAAGCAATTGGATAAGCCAAGCCAATGATGCACTTTAGGTTAAGGGAATTAAATTGCTGTTTCCTAAAGGGGTGTAGTTTTAATGTATATATCTCTATCTAGCCAACATAGCTAACACCAGCACAGTCTCACGGCATTTCGTGTTATAGTCACGAAATTAATCTATTGATTCGTGTTCACCAACACGATTTCGCCATTTTTTTTCGTGTCACACAGAACGATTTTAAAAGCAATGTAAATAATAACAAATTAGAAGGAAAAAGACATTTAAAAAAATACAGATTTAAGTATTCTGACACAGAACGATTTTAGAAGCAATGTATTTCTATTGGTAGTATGTTTCGTGCCTGCACCAAATAATAACAAATTAGAAGGAAAAAGAGATGACATAAAATACAGATGTCAGTATTCTGAGGCTCTGAGCCATTTCTTTTCCTCACTGACGGCACAAAAACTCAGACATTATACAATTTACAATAAAAGGGATAGGGCTAGGCTTAGGGTAAGATATTGAGTAAGAACATGTTTTTATGAACCACACAGCTTCTGGCCTTCCAAGACCCGACCGGACAGAAAGACGTGTTGCAGGCACGAAACATACTACCAATAGAAATACATTGCATTTAAAATCGTGTTGGTGAACACGAATCAATAGATTAAATTAATTTCGTGACTAATAACACGAAATGCCGTGAGACTGGGTTGCTAACACATATCATTAGGATCATGAATATCAGTTAGCTTATGCTAATGTCAGTTGATGTTAGCTTAAAGTTTTGACAAAGTTTGATGAATCGTAAACGATTATCAAACCAAAACACGGTAGTTCTAAATCTGAACCCGTTAATCTGTACGAGCGTACCGTGCTGAATCCAAACCTTTCCTATATCTGGGAGCGAGTTTGAGTTCTTGCTGCTGCTTCGAGTTCTACAACGTAGGGATGCCATAAAAACAGCAATGTGTAAACTTAATATGCTGAACACCTATGTGTTTACTCCTCCAGGCTCTGCCTTGTGACCCTGTTCAACATTCACTACTTATATAACATACTGATGATTATAAAACCTTTTCTTTGAGCCTGCGTCACACTGTCCCGAAATTGACACCCGATGGACACACGATAAAGGAAATGTTCAAATTCGGCTCTGATCGTAACAACATCGGGCCATTCGTGAGGGCATCTTAAGCCATCGTATGACCGCCGGTGGAGTTTGTCAGGCTCTGGCTTCGTGAGCGGCAACTTCGTAAGGCACTCGTGAGGGCATCTTGTCAAATCGTGTCATCTTCGTGTTATCATCGGTGCCATCGGGCATTCGCCCTCACTCTGATCGGGGCAAATACCCGATGGCAACGATGATAACAAGATGCCCTCACGATGGCCTTACGAAGGGCAAAATTGGCACACGAATTCAACACGAAAATGAACCTTCGCGAGGTCCTTCTGCAATTTTTTGACATGCCAAAGATTTTGCCACCGCTCACGAAGTCGCTGCCGGAGCCTGAGAAACTCCACCGGCGGTCATACGATGGCTTAAGATGCCCTCACGAATGGCCCGATGTTGCTACGATCAGAGCCGAATTTGAACATTTCCTTTATCGTGTGTCCATCGGGTTGTTTTATTGCACAACAAAATCATGTAAACATATTATGTAAATAACCCAATTTGTGTTCTGTAAAACTGAAAAGGATATAATATATTATTTAGAAGGCGAGTTGACAGGAAGTTGTTGTTGCTATGGAAACAACATTGCGGAGAAAACTTAATATCTTCTACATATAAAGACGGATAAAGTAAAGAACAAAGTCTGAAAATATCAGCACAGTATCATAGTACTTTAACATAATTGTTTTTGTTACTTTCGTTGCAGTTGTATGTCTTAAATGTAATGTAAATGTTGCCTTCGTGTGTGGTTCGGGGCCATCTTCGTGCGAAATTCACAATTCCATATTCGTGTGTCCATCGGGTGTCAATTTCGGGACAGTGTGATGCGGGCTTAAATCCCTGATTCTGAGGAATCAAGAGTTAATTCAGGCTCTAAAACTCTGTTTATTATATATAATTTCAGTTTAAACATTGATTTTAATATCTGGAAACATTATATTCTGAAGTAGAAATCATAATGTGTTTGTTCAGAGCTGATAAATGATTGGCCGCTCAAACATTCAGGTGGATAAATGTTTTTATTTATTCTGGATCCCGTCACACACAAATCAGAAATGAACAACAATTTAAAATTACAGAGAATCAATGAAACAGAAAAGGTTAAACTAACCCAACATAAAGATCTGAAATCATTCATCATGTGAAGAAAGCTCTTCCTCTCATTGCCTCTAAATCAAACTCCATATTAATGAGAGTTATGGAGAAACATCATTCTGACAAGCTTTGGTTGGTCCCACGTGTTAAGGAGAAGAAACTATGTGCATGTATTTCAGTTTAATAAAGGTTGATCATAGATACAAAAAGAATACCTTCCAACTAAATAACAAGAAACTAAACAGGTGCAGCTTTAGTTCATTTCTCTGTGAGATATAATCCTCCTGCTAACTTCTCTGATCCACTGTCACACACACCTTCCCTGGTAATATCTTCACTTCACCCCAAGTATAAATGTATGGAAACAGCCTCTTAGTGAAAGTGTGTGTGAAGGTGTGTATGTGTGTGTTAGTGTCAGGATCAGAGAACGACAGCTTTCCTCTGTTCCAGTCCAGATTCACTCTGACTCTCTGGGGCTCCTTCTGCAGGCTGAGAGGAGTGGATGGAGCTGGTGGTGACAGTGCTGAGTATTCAACTTCATTATACTCTATTCTCCATAATCCAGACTCTATGTCTCCTTTCCTGTCGACAGACTCTGCTAACACACCCAGTTCCCAGTATGTATTGTCTCCAACCTGGACATCCCAGCTGTGAGTCCCTGAGTTAAAGCCCTCAGAGCCCAGGACAGAGCAGACATAATCAAGCCTCTCTGGATTATCAGGAAGTTCCTGTCTCTCTCCTCCTAGTCTCAAACTGGTCAGATCTTCAGACAGGATGAGGTTTGGACCAGCAGTGTTTGGGTCCAGGATGAGAGGAGAGTAGGACACCAAGTCCTTCATCTTGCTCCAGATGTTGAAGCTGAGGTTGCCCAGGTGTTTGGCCTGGTCTATCAGAGCTCCGGAGGGCAGCTGTGGATCCTCCAGCAGGGGGCGCTGCAGCCTCTCCACTGCAGCCTTGTAGTTGTGCAGGAAGGAGACGTCTTCAGCTCTCAGCTCCTCCTCTGTGGCTCTGACTGTGTGTGAAAGAGCTGCTATCTCTCTGCTCACAGCCTCCATCTTCTCCTCCATCATCCTCCTCTTCAGCTCCTCTTCCTCCCTCAGTGCAGCCATCCTGGCCTCCTCTTCCTCTTCTAGAAACTGGTGAAGCTTCTTAAACTGCTCCTTAATCTGCGTCTCTGTGCGTCGAGCCTGGACCTTCAGGTGTCCTGCTGTTTGATCAAACTTCACTTTAACTTCTTCAAAAGTCTGTAACTTCTTCTTGAAGGGCTGCAGAGTTTCCTGAAGCTCCTTCTTGTGTTGTCGTGCAGCTTCATCGATGGGTCTGAATCTGTGGTCGCTGTGCTTCTCTGAATCTCTGCAGACGACACACACTGGCTGCTGATGGTCCAGACAGAAGAGTTTGAGTTTCTCAGAGTGCAGACTGCAGAGAGCCTCTGGAGATCTCTGATCTCTCTCCTGTAGGAAACTCTCACACAGGTTCTTTAACACCAGGTTACAGGGAGGTTCTCCTCTTGAAGATCTTCTCTTACAGACTGGACACTCTCGTGTTGGTTTCTCTCTAAACCAGTTCTGCAGACAGGCTTTACAGAAGCTGTGGCTACAGGACAGAAGAACAGGATCTCTAAAGACTTCACAACAGACCGGACAGCAGAGATCTTCCTCTGATCTGGAAGCCATGTTGTCTCTGAGTGAAGCTGAAAACACAGCAGACAGGAAGTACAGTCAGTCATGGCTTTTTAAACTATAATTGTAACCCCAGTGTTTAAATGTGGTGACAAGTTATCAGCTATAGACCCATGAGCTTTCTACCTGTTGTGTCTAAAGTGGTTTCAAAGGTAGCTGCAGAACAGCTGGTGTCACACCTTAGCAACAACGACCTACTGCTCCCTATGCAGTTTGGATTCAGGAACAATTATTCTACTGAAACTGCATGGTGTTCTTCTTGGAAGGAATCAAGGCTAAATTAGACAAAGGAGGGATAGTTGGAGCAGTTTTTCTTGATCTCCATAAAGCATATGACACAGTAAGTCATCTAAAACCTTTATCAAAGCTCTCCAAAGTCAAGCTATCAGTTAGCTCACTAAAATGGGTAAGGTCGTATTTATCTAGTCGTTCTCAATGTGTTGGTATAAATAATAAACTGTCATCAACTGAACCATGCTCACTGGGAGTACCACAAGGCTCTGTGTTGGGACCGTTCTCTATCCGGATGTATGCTGAGGACACGGTCATTTACACTCAAGGGGAAATGCTGAACAGGTTGCCACTAAGCTCTCAGTTATGCTGCACAAAGTTGCTCAATGGATAAGTGATTCGTGTCTTACTTTAAATAAATAAAAACAGTTACGATGTATTTTACTAACAAACAAAAAACCATCCGTGTATCCACAGCTTAGTGTTAATGGACAAACCATCAAAAAAGTGAATCAATGCAATATGTTATCCAGATACAATCTCCTTCTGTTTTCAAAAACTCAATTGGTATTCAACATCAGATCCAATGCTACTCCAGCACCTTTGAGAAGCTTCTTCCAGCTCCGCTCTGAACAAATGGGCAGAACCTCGACCCGCCTTGAACACAGATTTAACCTCTGCACAATCTGCCTTCTCTTGTTTACGCAATAAAATATTGGAATCTGCTTCCATCTTAAAACCTGCTCAGATTTTCACATTTCTTCCCAAATGTAGCTTTTTGTGTCTTACCAACATGATGTTTTCTGTAATTTGAGATGTTAGTTTAACCTGTTACGCACCTTCCGCCCGGTACCGGGCGGATAAACGCGTCATTTGCAGGAAACAACGTCTAAGGAATCTTAATATTGAATAAAACTATGAATGTGTTATATCCATGTAACGGGAAGAAACTCAGCTAACTGATCTTTTTAAAAAAACAAATCAAAAAAAAAACACAATGCTAGCACTCAGCCTCTGAATTAGCCACGAGCGAAAACATGGAATGTAATGCGGCACTTAAACTCACTCAGAACTCCCTTATTACTTATCCTAGATGCACAACCAAACACTCTTTTTTGGTGTCCTGGAGACACTGAATCTAACGGTGCCCACCTCAACACTCAGTGATAAACATTCGCGACGCTATAAACGAAAGCGTACATCATCACATGTGGAGCTAAGTAGCTAAACACGTAAACATGGCTTACCTTGGTCAAAAGTGGTCTTCAATGGCATTAAAACGATAAAAAAACGATGCTGCAGTTAATCCATAGGTTCATCCTATGTGTCTGTGCCTTCTTTGAAATTATTTCTGATAATCCATAAGCAATAAAACTGCGTTTTAGTTTCCAAACTCCAGAAGGAGACATTCTTCCACTTTGCTTTCGTTTCCCACACGCGAAGCAACCACATTTTTTCTTTACAACGTGTGTGGGTGTGTGCCTCCCCCTTCGATTCTATTGGCTCTAACGGTCACAAGGGTATGTCAACCAACCAAATCGACCAAGGGGGGCCAGAGATAGGTCAAATCCACCCAAATGACCCCAAAAGTGGGGGTTTTTGGCTAAATCTCTCTAAAAAGGTCAAATTTCACTTGTTTTGCATCAATCTTGATACAGGGTACTTATTATATGTTGTACTTTGGATTCCTAAAGCTTTTAGTCTACTAACCCATCATCCAAGGGTAGTTTTCACTATCTGTAAAAAATAATTTTTGGACGGACACTATAATTTACAGTTTTTTACTATGTAAAATCTGAATTTTCTTTAAAATAAAAAACATTTATATTGATTCTGACACTTCTACATCCAACTCACAGGTTTATCATTACTTTGAGAAAAAAGATTATTAATTTTTCCCTTTTAGAAGGGAAGATATGGTCATTTGTTCTGGGAATGTCATTTTCGAGCCTGAGACCTGAAAAACAGGCTCAGAGTGGAACAGGTTAAATGATTCGTACAATTATATGTATTTTGACAAGTGTACTAATATGTTTTATACCTCTGTACTTTGATCTGGTTTTATTGAGAGTGTGATAGTTACTAGGACATGTTTTATTGCTGGTTGATTGTTATGTGTTCCTGCCCAGGGACTGCGGATAGAAATGAGCTTTTAGCTATAATCTAGAATTTAGCATCTCTTCTCTTTTTTAGATTAACGTATTTGTATGGATGGTCCTTGTTAAGTAAAGACGTATACTAATATAACAATGACCCCCCCGCCTCCTCTACTGACTGATATCTACTTTGAGTGATGTTTGGAGTCAGACTCACCTTCAGAGTGTTGAGTGTCAGCAGGTTGAAGCAGCCGTGTTGTAGTTTCCTCTTTTCTCTCCTGTAGCTGAACTCAGAGGAAGTTGTTAGTTTGGTCTGAGGGATCGTCTGTTTTTCAGTCCGTCTGAGTGCTGTTAGCTCTCGGTCCAAAGTGCGGATTAATTGCAGGATTAAAGGTTGTAGTGGAGAGTTAAACATTAACACATCATACGGTGAAGATTACCCTCTTGTGCAATTCATTTCAGAACGTAACCCACGCCCATAGTACTACTACATTAAGCAGATTTCTTGAATGTGTGTATGTTAAGTCAAAGTTTGATTTGATTGATTGCATCTTGTGCCTCATAAAATATTTTAGTGAGAGTTTAAATCCCTTCTTGAGCAGGGCGTGTATTTCTTCCTGTACAGCCTTACAGATTCAGCATGTTAGCGCTCCATCACGCCTTCTCCACGTTCATTTAGTTATTAAAATCGAGCTGAGATTGTGGAGTTTGTGGGCCGTCATGTGTGGATTAATCAACCTTTGTCGACTCAGCGCAATCTTTGCAGAGGTGGTAAACGATATAGGGAGGCAAATTGAAACGGAAAGTGTTGACTCTTTGCTCTCTATTACACTTTAATGTCTCCTCTTTACTTTGGTGCCGGAGTGAATTCTTGAATCGGACAGCGTGCAGAGAAAAGATGCTATAAAAGGCTTTACTGTGGGGGGGGGGGGTTTAGCTCCAGGGTAATAAAAACGTGTGGACTCACCTCGCCTGCTCACACATTGTTTGTCTGGCAGCTTTGTACACATCTGCCATGGCTCTGACACTGTGTCTATATTATTCTGCAAATATGGAGGTTAATTACTGCGTGACTGACAGTTTGACGGCTTGGATGGACATGAAACTCTCCCGGTTTAAAAAACAGTACAAAAGCTGACGAACTGCTTTGGAAAACATCGGCTTTTTTGATAGAAAGGGGATAGAAGGCCTGTGGATTATTAAAGGAAGAAGTTTCATATGATTAGCAAGGTGCATTTCAGTAAAATACATCCCCTCGCGCAGCTTAAAGCTCCCATGTCATGCTTTTCCGGTTATTACCCGTCCCCTTGTGTGTTATGAAGGTTTTTATGCATGTAAACGGTGTGCAGAGTCAAAACCCTCAAAGTACACCCTGTAGCGAGTAAAACTCTAACACAGAAAATACCTCCCCAAAACGCCTCGTTGGAGATACGTCACTGCCCATTTGAGTCTTCCATTTAGTTCCGGGTACCGCCTGATGTCATGCGGTACCCGGAACGAAATGGACCAATCCCGAAGAGCTATGGCCACACCAGCAGCGTCGTGTTCCTCCTCCAGAGGTTCGAAGAACCGGCATTTCACAGACGAAAGCTTCCAAAACATTGCCCAGTTTGAGGCCGGATATGCACAGCTTGTTTGGACCGTTTGGAGCAGGGGAAGATCTGGGTATACAACCTGTAAGTTTGCATTGTTATTTGTGTATTTATCAAACAAGACTGTTTAAATGTGTAAACTGTGTTGGACTGCTAAGCCATTGACACAGTGCTAACTAAGTTGCTAGAGTTTCCATATATCAACTCTAATATCAGCAGATGGCCTTGCATACATGTATCTCATAGCAGGAGAATGTCTGCATTCACACACAAAATACCTATTGACAGTATACTCCGGGTGATTTGCCGGTCAGTCGCGAAACGTAATTACATTATAGCTGGCGTAGCGATCTAACACACGGAGCTAGAGCTAGTTTCGGTCAGAAAAACATTTTTGTGATGCTACGTTGCTAGCGTTTAAATATATCAACTACAATGTCAGCAGATGGCCTTACATGTTTGTCATGGCAGGAGAATGTCTGCAGTCACACACACGGAATACTCATACAGTATACTGTACTGTGATTTACCGTACATTGTGACCGTACATATACTGCATGTAGCTAACGAGGCTAGCTGTATGCTAGCGCAAAACAATGTATTCATGCAAGTTACATTGTATGACCGAACGTAGCAGAATACCCGTATACGATTGCAATTATAAACACGTTATTGCTAGCCTAATATGAACCACTAGCTTTTGTTCATAGTAGTTTTATTACACTGCATTATAGTTGCCTTTCCTCCAAGCTAACGTTCATATCGTGTTAGCTACCAAGGTAAACAAAGCTAGGTTAGCATATTAGCAGGCAAGCTGTTCATTACACAACTACTACTAACGAATCTAAAACAACTAAGTTTCTCTAATATTTTGTGATTTGCATTTGATTTCGTCCAGCCAGATCCTGGCGGACAATCCATGACGGGGAAGGGATTCTACTGAGGGTGCTAAAAGGCACCGCACCGACTGTGCGCAGGCAAGATGCGAGGAGGAGGAATGGATGATATACCGTGTATATATGTATATTTATGTTCATTTTGTACATTTCTAAAAATAAAGTTTAATGGAAATACTTAGTAGGCCTATCCTTTCTTCCCTGAATTCATATATAGCAAACCATGATTTGATTTCTCATCAAACAGTAGTAGTTTATAACGGGTAAAAATAACTTACTCTTTGTTATGAGAGTAGCTCGTAGGCCACAACGGAAAGACAAGGAGACATACACGAGTTTACAAAACCATGGCACATTTATTGTAGTAAATGCAGAGACAGGTGGTCGAGGGGAGAGGGTCGCTCAGTTCGTCCTTCTGCAGCCGCTTTGGAGAGAGACTCCGGGCCGCTGGGATTAATAGCACCGGCTACGGAGGTGTCCGTGATCGCGCTGATTACCCTCTTCAGCTCCACCCCACCGTAAGACAAAGGCCCTGAGGCCGTCACACTCTTCTATAACAACAGTTAAAAATATAT